GTAGACGTCAACCTAGGCATGGAAGAGTCATGGATTAATTCCTGGTTAAGAGCACATAACTGAGTTGCAGGATCATTCCCCTGCTTTTGCACGAGGCAGCCAATCGAGGTGTCTCTCTCACATTGAAGTTTTTCTCTCTTTCTTCGCCTCTCTCCCTCCCTTCCACTCTCTTTAAAAATCAATGAGAAAAATATCCTCACGTAAGGATTAACAACAACAAAATAATAACAATACAATAATTAATTAATAAACTCTGTTTCACATACTCACAACTGTAAGAATAACAACACAATAATTAATTAATAAGCTCTGTTTCACATACTCACAACTGTAAACCTACTTTTGCCCCACTTTGTATAAAAGTTTAAAGATTTCACAAAACATCTACTTTATACATAATATTAAAAGTATAATTTACCTTTAATCCATCTTTTCCTTGGAGACCTTCTTCTCCAGGAGCTCCAGGCTCACCCTATTTTGTAGCAGAAACAGTAAAATTTATTATTTTGCTAAATCATTTTATTTTATTTTTTGTTGCTTCTGGTATCTATAGAAAGCAGCATCTATTCCTACTTCTGGTGACTATAGAAATAGTCAATGCATAAACTACTTTATTTATAAGGAATATTTGACAGTATAGAAGCATGATTTCATTTTTCTAGAACAGCTCTAAACATGATTTAAGGAGTCATAGTGTTGTGAATTCAAATTACAAGATGGCCCCCGACAAGCAGTAACTTTTAGATAATAAAAGGTAATATATATTCAGTTGGCAGCTTTGGTAATTTATACAGTTAGACCTCTGTTTCTGAGTTTAAGAACTGCAAACACCACAACTCATAAAATCATAGTACTTTGCTATGCTAAAGTGACAGGGATTAATAAAAACTTAATTCCATTAAATTCAGTGTACCTTATTTTTAGAGTCTATTTTTACAAAGGAGAAGCAACAGTGAGACCCTGATACATCAAGAAGCTGTCTTATAGATCAGAACTCATAGACAGGCAGCGCCATGCTTTGTGAAGCTAATAAAGTAGCACTGGTTCTCTTGCTACCTGAACTATTTGAAAGTAAATTAATCAATGCATCTTCACAGTTGTCTCACTGCTCCCACCACTGACACTTGCATTACTCTGATGCCACACTGCCTGCCCCACCCTCCTGCAAAAAAAGAGAAAAATATAGAAGAAACTGGATGCAAAATATATCTCCCTACTTTGGTTCTTAGTAAACAAATGTCTCAAAATTATGTAGGCACTGTTATCTTAGGAAAGAACTTACCACAGATCAAATTAAAGACTGTCTTTATTAGAATAACTTGTGTAAGCTATCTATTTACAACTATTTGCAATTATTTCCTTGAATGAGCTTACATGACTAGTTATGTTTCAATATAAATTGGATTTCAATCTTTTGTCTGTCTTGTGAGGTTAGGAAATAGACTGAGAGTTGATCACTAGTAATCAACTAGTGATCAATTGTGAATTTTTTTTAATGCTAACATTGGTGATAATCTGTAACATCTGGCAAGGGCTCTGCAGAGTACACCTGATTCTGAGAAAAGGACATATGAGGTTAGGACTCTAAATGCTACCAAATCACAATATGAACAGAGTTTGGCATGGAGCTTTGAAATTACAAAATACAGACACATTTTCTAAATGCAACAGAAAAGTTCTTGTGAATTTTTTTTAACGCTAACATTGGTGATAATCTGTAACATCTGGCAAGGGCTCTGCAGAGTACACCTGATTCTGAGAAAAGGACATATGAGGTTAGGACTCTAAATGCTACCAAATCACAATATGAACAGAGTTTGGCATGGAGCTTTGAAATTACAAAATACAGACACATTTTCTAAATGCAACAGAAAAGTTTATTATGCAATTCTTGAGGTCTTTAGGCTAGATTTTGAGTGTCTAAAATAGTTGGGCAGTGCACTAAAATGGTTTCTCGTAGATCCTCACCCGTAACCCTGGCTCCCCAGTAACTCCAGCAGTGCCTGCAGGTCCAACACCTCCCTGAAGACACAAAGTGAAAGAGTAAGCTCTGTCTATTGAACCTTGACGTTTAATAATTATGGGGGCATACCACGGGAATAGCGGTTCTGAAACACTTCTCATTGTTTCCTTTTCTCCAGACTAATTTACTGATATTTTGCTCATTAGTTTTGTATACCTTCTCATATATAAAAATATGTATATATATTATCTATACACACATATACAGATAATATTTTTCTGACAAAATTTTTTTTCTGGCTCATTTGAGGATACTTTCCATTTTTTTCTGCTGTCCTTCACCTACTTTCAAGGTGGTTTTGCCAAAAGGTGGCCAACATAGGGGATTCAATGGTGAAGTTTAGAGGCCCCCTCCCATCCCCCTATACACACACACACCTGGCCCGTCTGCCTTTACCACATAGGAAGGTTACCTTTGCACCTGGCTCTCCTTGTAGACCAGACTCTCCCTCAATACCTGAAGGTCCCTACAAGAGAATGATTTGACACATCATTTGTACACATTCCTTAACCGATTACAAAGGCAATAGCAACATCATAAGATGTTAGTAGTTTTTAGCCCAAGGGTAAGATATCTATGTCCCTTGGGTCTTTGATACTCATTTATAAACTTCATGGCATAAGACTAGATAATATCTGAGACTTTTTAACAGTTAAAATGTCAAAACAACATAACCTAAAATAAAAACCTTTTAAAATATTTTTATTGATTTCAGAGAGGAAGGGAGAGGGAGAGAGAGATAGAAACATCAATGATGAGAGAGAATCAATTATCGGCTGCCTCCTGCATGCCCCACAATGGGGGTTTGCCTCCTGCACACCTCCACATGGAGCCTGCAACCTGGCACATGCCCTGACAAGGAATGGGTCCATAGGTCAATATTCAACCACTAAGCCACACTGACAAGGCTAAAAGAAAATCTTTTAAGACAAGTTTCTTTTAATTGTTCCACTCATTCTTTAATCCTTGGTTAAAGACAAATTACTTCCCATTTTTTTTCTAATTTTCTATTCTCATACTATTTTCTGTGTGTTTTCACTTTTTACCCTTCCCACCCATTTCTGTTAAGCCCTCTACAATATACTTCTTCTAAAAAATTTCAGTTTTCTTTATTGGTTTTATAAAATATGTCATACAAAAAGGATACAAATTTATTCACATTATAAGAAATTTTATCTATATATTTATGACATTTTTTTCACTTTCCTTTCATAAGTGGGTCCAGTTGAAAAGCTTTTAGTTCCTTTTACCCTGAAAACATACTTCTTGCAATCACTGGCTATTTCTAGGCCTGTATTCCTACAATTACTTTTGTATTTTTTTTTGTCTCTTAAAGATATTTATTTTGTTTTTGAGAATGCTAATGCATACCCTTCCCTTTCCCCCTTCCTCACTAGCCCTCTCTCTTCTGCAATCCTTTCTTCTTCTTCTCTCCTTCACTGTGTGTGCAATGTATGTATATATGTGTGTGTGTAAAGACATAATATGTATTCAGAATTCCCATATTTCTGGAGTAGAAGGGTAGTTTAAAGCATTAGTTCATAATAATATCTTGACCTAAAGTTTTCTGTTTGCTTTCTTTCCTTAATAGTTCTGATCCATGGGTTGCAATGTTCCTTATATTGTTATAGACTAAAACGTCATATATGTCATCTTAGTACTTTCAATGAAAGAAAGTCCAATTTTTCATTTGACTTAGCTTCCGCAATCCATATTCACTTTGCTTTTTAAAGAAGCTATCCATGCATAGCACTACAGAAGGACTTACGATGAAAAGCTGCAGTCCCCTTCCTCAGAGGCAACTGCTTTATAAAACAATCTCTGTTTTCAGTTCTCCTGATGGTTACTTCTATAACTCAAAGGTTTACCTCTACTCCTTGATATATCTCCTTGCTAAAGTTTAGTTCCCTTATACTTCCCTTGTTTTACCAGGATTTCATCAACTTTTAAACAGTTATATTGTTTAGATTTTTCTGTTGGCTACCTTTGTGACTGACTTGCTCTACTGTGAGAAAGCACTTGGGAGGACAGACGATGAAGTGAGGCGCCTGGGTTTCTGCTCTGGCTCAGAAATGACAGAATTTAATATCCCACCCTGAGATTAAATTTATCTCTTGAGAGAGAATTCCAACACTTTTAGGATTTTTTCTACATCAAAATTGCTTTTAATCTCAGGGGCCTCTGCCAGTTCTTAATTTCTCCCAATCTGTCAGCTCTTCTTGGTTTCTTTTATTCCTTTCTTAGGCTAAATCCAATAGCTGATGTTCAGATCTCTGTGGTACCTGTTTTTTATTTTATATACTTTTTTTGTAATTCAATTTTCCCCATCACCTTTTATCCCCTCTATGCCCTCTTCCCTCTCCACCCACCCCTCTCCACCCTGCAATCACCATACTGTTGTCCATGTCCATGAGTTCTCTCTTATTTTTTTCTTTATTGCTCTATCCCTTCCCACACCTCCCCCATCCCCCAGTTATCTGCCTGCTCTCCATCTATGAGTGTGTCCCTATTTTGCTTGGTAGTTCAGTTTGTTCATTAAATTCCACATATGAGTGAAATCATATGGTACTTGTCTTTCTCTGATTGGCTTATTTGACTTAGCATAGTAGATAAGAAAGTTGTGATACATTTACACAATGGAATACTACTCTGCTGTAAGAGGAAAGAAAAATTTACCCTTTGCGACAGCATGGATAGATATGGAAAGAAAAATTTACCCTTAGCGACAGCATGGATAGATATGTGGTACCTATTTTTATACCAATCTTGAATTAGCACTTAAAATTCCCTTTTAAATTTATATTCTCAGTAGAATACTGGTGGGAAAAGTTACACATTTGTACAAAGTGGTATCATTACATGTTGAGAGGCACAGTGGCTAAGAGAATAGTATGTGTAGAGAAATCACCTAAATTTAAATGTAGGCTCTATCATTACTACTAGCTTTGCTCTTGAGCAAGATACTTAACCATTTCATGTCTTAGTTTCTTCATCTGCAGAATGAGGGTAACAACTGAACCTACCTCATAGGGTGTTGTAATGGTTCATTAATAGAACAAAGCACATTTAAATACACCTATTCACACAGAAAGTGTTCCAGAATTGTTGGCTATTATCTTCTTCATCATAGTTGATTTAATGCAAATTCAGTCTTCTGCTTCAGCTTGACTTTTAATAAGGTATATATGTTTTTTAACTTGTCATTTCCCTC